GGGGGGGGGGGGGGGTGCATGAGTTCTCTCTAACTGGGGTTGTAACGGAGGATGCTGATATGAATAAGTTCGGTTCCGCGGAGGCGGAGGCGGAGGCAGAAGTTGAAATAGTTTACTACATCGTAATTTATTAGACAAATTAGTTTTTTTTTTCATCTTGTAAGTATAAAATATTTAATACAGCTTTTCCCCGCGACTTATGCGGCCTGTGTGTGTGTAGGCCTCCAGACTGTATTCTTCATCTGTACCAAATTTCATCGAGAATCCGGAGATTACTCCAAACAAACTTAACAAAACATCTAAGCATCTTTGAGAAGTATCTAAATGCGTACATGAAACGATACAGAATTGTTTTAAAACCGGCCGGTGCTCGAGGTGAAGCCAGACGGAGGGCGCCGAGAGCCCTCGAGGCGGCCCTCCCCTCTCTACCACTTTTCCTAACAATACTGAGTTCGAGCGTTTCTTCTGAGGATCCTGTCCTCGAGATAGATTCAACAAAATCACCTTTGCGATTAATTACGATGGAAGGTAATACTAGAGTTGAGTATGTCGGGCGTCACTTCATTGCTTGTTGCTATCGGTTTACTTCACAAAATGACCTTAATTGTACTTCTATATTTTTCAACAAAATAAAAATGAAGTGCGATACGACAGTTGATATTCAAGGTCCGGGAGAACATTTGCGTCCTGTCCTACACTTGAACACACTTCCTTCTACTTTGTTTTGACTTCTCGACTGACGAGAGGGTAATGTTTTGCGCGCGTATTTAAATTCAATTATAGATACTGATAAGTGGTGCCATTCGATTCGTTTCCGTTCTAAATTAATGGGGAACTTGACGTTGTTAAATTATTGTTGAAATTAATTTGATATAAATGTATGATGTGATGTTACGTACATATATCTTTGCATGAAGCTGCATGGCCCGCGTGCCGGATTGTCGCTAGAAGCCAAGTGTCGGGGAAAGCTCTGTCACATTATCGTTCCCCTCCCGAAATAAACTAAACCTATCGTGGCCAATGCAGGGAGATCGCGTTAACGGAGCCGTATCCTGCAGATGCACCCCGGAACGAATCGGACCTCTCGGGCCGTCGAGCGAGCGTGCACCCTACCGCAGTGACGTAGGGAACATTTTATCGTGTCGATGAAGCTGCTACGTCGTCGCTTCCCCCGAGAGCGATCGGAAATATATGACGGCGTGCAGTCAGCCCGGCGACGCTCTGCCTTCGAACGAAAACACGAGTTGGACCTTTGTTACAAGGCGAGGCGTCAATGGACCGTCGGGGCATTGAGAATTACCGACGCGGCGAGGGTCGGGCGAGAGGAGCGCATTTGAATGCCGCAGGAGCGGCGGAGAGGGGCGGCTCGAGTCGAAGTTTCCCTCTCGTTTGGGCGGGGGCGGGCGGGGGCGGGCGGCGGCGTGCAGTGCGAGTCGGGCGGGCGCGGGAGGCGCACGCGGCAGGCGGCGGTAGCAGCGGCCACGTGACGACAAACGACGACTCGTGTTGTCATGCGTGCGATGTGTCGAGTGCGGTGAGGACGTACGGCGTGCGGCTCGGGCCCGCGCTCCGCCGACGCCGGGTGGAGCGTCCTCGACCGGCATGTCTACCGGCCACTGCATGCTGCAGTACACAATGAAACAAAAGCTCGAAGCCGCCTCAAAACTTTAATTAGTTTCGTCCCTACAACTGGAGTTAAAGTCTGATTGCGCGCGAATAAAGTTTTCGTGACGTAGAGACATTTGAGACTTAGTTGTTGGTTGCCTGTGCTGTGTGAAGAGCTACCTATTCCCCGGGTTACATTTCAACTACGACTATAGTTTTAAAAGGTATACAATTGAAATGCTAATAGTTAATAAACTATTATTAGCACCGCTCTCACTAACTATACCTCGATCCTATTGAAACCCTTAACCTTAGACGAACTGCACTTTACGCTAAAATGCGGAATTGTAAAATATTTCCGGTTAATCACCTTTCTTTTACATAACTAATTAAAATTACGTTAATATAACCTCTCATTATCTTCAGATTTTGATAAAATAACAAAAAAATATTGTAACGAAATGAAATAGAATCAAAGGCGACAATTAGCTCAACAATGAGAAGTGCGTGGAAATAAGGCTACAGTCGAACCTAGTTAAGTGGAAGTCAAAGAGATCGCGATGTTTTTCGCTCATCCAGGTTCGACTATATTGAGAAATGTAACAAAAGAAAAGTGCATACAGCGCGTCTCCCTTTTGTCTATCAGCTGTGGCCCCTCGGTGGTTGATATAAAAAAGTGGTGCTGAGGTTGAGCACTCCGCGAGCTCATACCATCATATCTAACTCGTGGCAAAGTAGTAATCCAGTTGATATTGTCACAACAACATGTCACCATGGCAACCGGCAACACAAGTCAACCACTCACGTAAGCGAAAAGTGGTGAAATTTATTTGCCTTATTCGCTTCTCTATAGTCGGAAAGTTTTGTACTTTCAATAAAATCCGTTTTCCTTTTTCCTTTACATGAAAACGTTATAATTGATGTAAGACCACACTTTAATTAAAAGATTAAGCGCGAGTGAGATTCGAGCGAAATTAACAGGAGTTTAATTTAGAGCGGCGGATACATTAGAACATTTCACGTTAAGATAAAATAATAACGAGATGAGTTTTCATCGTCTGTGTTTGTTTACTTTTCAATACAAGTTTCGCTTTAGAGAGGTGATGCAGGCGCGTACCAGTGCCGCCCTCCGCCACCCCTACCCCCTACACAATGTCCGCGCCCCCTGCCGGCTCGCCTCATTTCGCTATGTCGCAACATTCCGGCCGATTACTGCAGTTTTTGCCTGTCATTTCCTTTGTGATCCGTGGAATGAAATCTATTGTTGAAGTAAACATATTGACTTATTATTTGACCATTAAAAAGTGGTAGGCACATTTTTGTTTTAAACTAATCTTGTTTACCTGCAATTAAGGGAGGAAGTGTTGTGGACTTCGGAGCGAGGTCTTACAGCGCGTCGCAGGTCAAGGTCGGGTGAGGTCGTGCTCCCGCCCTCACCCCCCGCCCTCGCTCCTGTCGTCCTCGATTCATTGCGAGCGACATCTCTGCTTCTCGAATTAACACTGCCAAGTTCCTAATCCCGTCATAAAAATTAAATACAACATTAAAGTTTTGTCATATCGGCCTGTTTGATCTTCCATGAGTCGCACACCGCAATATTCTTATAATTTAAAGAAAAACAACACGCCTAAGAAGTTCCGCTACACGCACAGAAACATTTATTAACCTTTGTAGAGCAGCGCAGTGGTCGTGCGTTATAAATGAGCATATATAAAAGTATTGAACATAAAGGCGGGATGAGTTTGTCGAGGGATTGCAATGTGTTCACGACGCGACGGATTGAAAAAACTAAATCTTTGATATAAACGGAGGGTTCTTGCGGCCGGCCCAATATCGCACTTGATTGCGGATCACCTGCTCACCCCCTCCCCGCGCACCCCGCGCACCCCGCACGATGTCCCCATATTATATATTATAGATAACACAATTTGCAACGAACTTTGAGCCCAACTTCAGACCGTTAACAGATGAATTTCGTATGATTGTTTTTTAATCGCCGACATAGGCAAATAAACCGTTTTGCAAAATTTCAAGTGTGTGTCATGTAACAGAGGATGACATACCTTTTACTTGATGTTGCTGTCTCAGGTAAAAGGGCGGCTGCAGGTGCGGCACTCCCTGGGGCTTCGCGCCGTCGCCGCCGGCCTCTATGCTCTCGATCTAGGTCGCAGTGCATCTTAGGTTTTTTTTTGATTACAGTGAAGCAAAAGTTGATATTTCTTTTGTCGATTGAATGCTTTCACCAAAAAGTACCAATACTTCCACTTGCGAACACACTATTTGACCAAGTTAACTTTTCTTTCCGATGCTGGCATCGACAGTATGTGGACAACTAGAGATCGCTGAAATGTCTAAGTAGGATGATATTCTTCAAAACTTTGTGCATTTGAACTTGTAAAGCAACAGTCACTTACATGACCTAAGTATCAAGTTTAATTATATGGCGCAAGTCTGTCGCTTGCTGTTGACACATCGCTGTTTTAACTTTAATCAAATCCCTTTTTATATTTGTGTGTTGCGCTCTGTGTTTGTGACAAAAGATGATATTTAGGTCGGCTCCTCGGCCCCCGCGCCCCGCGCCCCGCGCGCTCTACTTGCACACTTTGGTGTTGCCTATATAATAGCAGCCACTCATGGTTCATTGCTTATTTGTGTTGTTAAACTAAATGTAATGCATCAATATATATGTATGTAAAATCATTGTAAAGAACAATTTCACATTGTTGCAACATTTTCATAGGCAACAAACATAAGCTTTCTTCCAATCTACCTTTTGGAATGTGTAGTTGTGACCATTGATTATTAGGAAAGTGGTGACTAAAGTACAACATTGTTTAGTAGTGTTTATCATCATCATCAGCTCACTGTACGTCCCCACCGAGGAGCTCGGAGACTACCCAAAGTCACGGGTGACTAGGCCATAGTAAACCACGCTGGCCCAGTGCGAGTTGGGTGACTTCACACATATCATTGAATTTCTACTCAATTATGTGCAGGTTGCATCACGATGTTTTCCTTCAGCGTAGTGTATGTCATGATTATTAATTTACACTAAAGAGCTGGTCTCTGAAGCGAAGTGTGCTTACATCGTGCTCAACTTAACTGTAGATGCATACTCGAGGCACCGCACATGTATGTACGAATCTTTCAAAATGTATGCGATGCAATAGTTTACAGAGCGCGCGCTGTGCCATACACGGAGATAATAAATTATTTCGATTTCTTTATAATTTAATAGGAAACATGCGTGTCAATGGTGAAGACGATATAATTATAAAAGTCTAGCAACCAAAACTTTAATCTGAAAGAAGTTATGATTTGGGCAATCCATGATGATATTATTATTTTTATCGGAAAAGGCTTTCGTGAACTTTGGTCTTTTGTGGTAGCTTTGAGGTCACGGCAGAGGGTGCTATACGGGCAATGCTGCCGCTGCGTGACAGCTAATCCTCTGCCGGGCGCCGCTGTTTCGCTGTCACGCTAGACGCGGCCTCAGTCCTGCGCCGGCTGCGGTCTCGCGGGTTCCGGCATCGTAGTTATAAACTTCTCGACATCGATACAACTCTATTGGGGATACTTTTCGCTTGTAATTCAAGAAAGCAGAGCTACATAAGCTTCCTTGTAGCTGTCAGTGTACCTGCTAGGCTCATCTAGAGCTACGTGCATGCTCAGTGCAATTGACGCACCGGCGTGTGGTGGCGGTGGTGGACATTGAAACTTACGCTTGTCTTGTTTAATCACTATTATTTGTGGCATAAATAAATGTGGGATCTGTTGTCGTGATAATTACAGAGCTAAGTCCGCGCTCGACGAGCGCCCAGCAGGAAGAGCAGCCGACGCAGCGAGCGGCCGGCGGGGACACCGCGCCGTCCGCTGACTTCGACACCAGCGTGCAACAGGTCTGTACATTCTTATTGTTCATCTCCAGGTCGTGGTCGTAGCTCGTGATGTGCGCGCTGTCGCATGTGTGGACGTTTAAAATTAATTTTAACTAATTGAATAAACATAATTGGTAATCAATTTGTATAAAAAAATGTCTCATTTGGTTATTAGACGGATGGAGGTCAACCTATCACCGGGTCTATGACTAATACTTAAGTAGTGTTACATAATGTTAAATATGTGAAATTAATAAATGGTGCGAGGTTGAGTCTGAATGTTGATTCTGCGTCAACGATTGGTATGAGAGAAATGTGTGTCTGCGGCGGCGAGCTGTGCAGTGACGCGGCTGCTTGTGTGTGCGCAGATCAGAGACTGGGTGTCGGCGCAGTCGGCCATGCTGCGCGCCCAGCCGGTCGCCGTGGGCGACGTCGAGGATGTGCTGCACCAGCTCGACAAGCAGAAGGTAGGCACGGTGTCGCAGCCCCCGGGCGGCGGCGAGCTTGTATTGTAACTTCAAAATAATATTCATTTTAATAAGTTCAGTGAAATAGTTTTGGATACCGGAAAGAATAATCAAAGTCACGTCGGACCGCTGTTATCCGGCGCGTGCCGACACCCGCGTCCGGAATCGATCCCCACACGATCCGTTCCTGATGCGAATTTAAATGATAGCAAGTCCGGCACCCAGGGGTGAGGTCGGGGGCCGGGGCGGGGGGTGGGGGATGTCAGTGCATGCAGGAAGGAAGTTGTCCAGCGCAAGGCGAGTGCGTCGCCCGCGGTCGCGGTAATCTTTAATGCCGGCGTTTTGGTGAAGTAAATCAAAATCATTTAAGCCTATTTTGTAGGTGATGTAAAGCTGCGCTCCGCTGGACTTGTACTCCTGAACATTAGCATTACCAGACATCTAGTGTTTCATATTCCTGCGTATAGTTTACGCTCATCCTCCAACACTAAAGCTTCGATAGATGGAGTTACTGTCGCAATCACTTTGAAACGGAACCTCCATCGTTTTAGTTACGATATGTTGCGCTAGATGGCGCATCTTTGAGTCATTTCAAATTATTTCCGTTTACATATTACAAATTCCTTCCTAATATGTTCTGATGATGTTAATTGAGTCACAGATATTAAGTGGATCCCAGTTCAACAATAATATAATAATATCTTTCAAGATTTTATAATAATTCATGCATTCAATATTAAAATTAATTATCATTAGCTAACAGTAGCCTGCGACTTCGTCCTTACCGAATTTAAGAAAAAACTTAATTTGTAGTCTATATGTTCTTCCAGACTATCTTCTATATTTATGCCAAATTTCAGCGAAATTCGTTAAGCCGTTCCGGAGATACCTTCACACAAACATCCATCCATTTATAATATTAGTAAGACGTCTTACTATTATAAATGGATGGATGTTTGTTAGCTCCAGAACAGCTGAACGGATTTTGAGGAAATTTGGCATAGATATAGAACATAGTCTGAAAGAATACATAGGTTAATTATTATGATTTTTTTAACTCCGCGCGGAGGAAGTCGCGGACGACCGCTATAAAAATATAAAACAGTATTCGTAATATCCAGAAATGATGAAGTGACAAAAAGAATTAGATCGTTTGGCAAAAGAAGTGAAAGCAGCTTTACCATTAATTAAAAGAGGCAAGTATTATGGCTTTACACATATAATATTTGATTTAAATGTTTAGTCCAGCCGCGCGTCCGTTGCCAGGCAACGCTCCGCACGCGGCTGCACGCGCCACCTCTCGCTGCGCGCTCTTGTCTTCGGTCGTAGTCACTTTGTGCCCTTTATATAAGAAGATGGCTTCGATAACGAATAATGTTATCCGCGCATTCTGATTCATACTTAACATGTTTGGTTGCGTCTCAGCACCCTGACTAGTGACTAGCGACTACATTACATTGACTTCAGATCTTTTCGACTTATTTCCCGCTCTGTATATTTTTTAGAACAGGTAACAGCTCTTTTAAAATATTCGAGACTTTGGAGAGGGCAATGGAGATCGATAAGGGTGTCCCCTCCCCCACCCCGCCCGCTCCCGCTCCCCGTCTCCGGCCGGCATTCGGGCTCCGGCCGTCAGGGAGGCAGGTGGAATGCTACGTCACTATTAGTTTGAATTTGTATCGCATGTGAAACATTTGTAACTACATTTTATTTGAACAAATAATAAAATGTAAGTCTCAATGAGATGACATCGCACTGGGCTCGCTCCAGAGCGGTCACCACTACTGTTTAGAACTCCCGCTCTTCTACTACAAAATACACACGTGCTCGCTTCATGATAAGGCCCATGTCATTATAATAAATATATTGCAAAACATAGGAACGGCACGCACAGTTACATATATCTCGTCACTGGTTATCATTAGTGGGAGACTCCTCCAAATTTTCATGAGTTAATGACGGCTTAAAGATGAGCGCGTTTAGTTTGTATAGCAATTAGCGTAGTTAACGAGCCCCCTGCCCTGGACGCGGGCCGCCAGCGCACAACCCGAGCTCTCCCCGCGCTGACCCCGCGCTCACCCCGCGCAGCCCCACGGGCTGCGATATCTTTCACTGTTTTGAAAATAGATAAACTATCTAAAATAAGCAATTATAAGTATAAAAAAACGAACTTCAAATTTCTTTCTTTCAATTAGACACTTGCTAAGTAAGAGGTAGGTAACATGAATTGAATTTGATCTCGAACTATTTCTTGGATGTTCTAAATATAAGTGCGCGAGCGATAGTTTCCAACTTTACACATTACCTCAAAAGTGTTCATTTGTGAGCTACGACGTGGCTGCGCACGAGTTGCTCGCACTGCGCCTTAGAGTGTGACAGTAGTGTGTGTGTGCAGGGCGTGTTGCGCGAGCTGGAGCAGAAGAAGCCGCAGCTGGAGGAGCTGGTGCAGGCGGCGGGCGGCCTGCGCGCCACAGAGAACCGCCAGCAGCTGCACGGCAAAGGTCAGTGCAACACATCTCGCGTTATCATCTAAATTTCAACAGTGGTAGAGCACGCAACAGGTAGAGTCCGCTTTAGCATCTTCGCACGAATCAGCCCGGCTCGCCCGGTGAAATACCACGACCACACAGAAGACAGGCGTGAAGTGGAAGCAATTCCGTGCTTCGTCTGATGAGTGTGCGTCCCGGAGGCCTAATTTAGTCCTCCTTCCCTTCCCACCTTTTTTCTTATTATATATGAAAAGGATGGCAAGTGGAAGTGGAATTTCCGGATGAGAGGGTGCATGGGAAGGGAAAATATTTTCTTTCTGTACATCTCCTCCGTCGATTAAAGGTAGGCAACGCATATGCAATTGCGTATGTCTATGGGCAACGGTCACTTCGTTATTTCAGCGATTTCAGGTGACCGCTTGCTCGTTTGCCACCTTATGATATAAAAAAAAATACATCGTGACAAATATTATTTTAACAATTTCGACGAGTAAATATCTCAAGGAATCTCGAAGGAAACTCGAGAACTTTACTTCTCCAAAATCTCAAGTGCGTACAAATTGTAAGCCGGCGGCGGGCGGAGGGAGATTAAAACGAAAACATTAATTTAAATGGTTAAGTAATCGGAGAGACGCTGACTCGAGCAGCGATTGATTTGTAAAACGATTTGTCGTCAAGTCGCGCTCCAGTCCAGTCCAGTCCAGTCCAGTCTTCAAAAATCTGTTTTAATTTATTGTTTCAAAAAAAATACCATTGAGAAAAATAAACAATTACAATATAAAATTAGTTATGTTCAAAATATTTGTAGAAATAAACTTCGTTATATATAAAATTATATTTATCGAGAATTTTAAAAAAATTGTCAGTATATTGTTATCGGTTTTTCTTATCTTTTCGACTCGACTGAGAAAGTTAATATTTTAAGTACGTAAGACACAACACAACCTTGCAATCTATTTATAAAAAATCGTGATAATAAATAGGTTGCAAAGGTTACATGACGAAGGCTTCGTGAGCTATCGAGGAGTTGTCCCCCCGCGCGACGGCACCGAGTCTTTGTATTCGGACACACATTGTTACACTTTTCGCCGAATGCTGCCGGCATCTCTCTACTCTACTTACATATAAAATTATTCATAATTCTGCTACACTATTCTCTCAAGAATATTTATTATACTATGTAATTAGATATTTTAATATATTATAAGTTAATTTGTAATATGTAAATGAAAAATTGAAAATAATGTGTTGGCACTTGTTTCGCAATAGTTCAATGAACTGCGGACATTTGTCGCGCCCGGCCGCCGCGCTGCATCTCCCTGTAGTTGCACAATGATTGTGCATTTAAATGTTGGTGCATTGTTGTGTTTACATGAAAATTATTTGTGAAACAAAACACAAATGACCGACACACATAACAGTGCGCGTACTCTGCCGGAACATCCGCAACAAGTATAATAACTTTACCCTTCTCAATATTAAAAATAATTCTGATTCCTTAAATGTGATAGAAATAGATATAGACACGCGGCCGGGAGCTACTGAAATATGTATGGAGGTAAAAGTGTTTTGTATGTGACGTGAGTGAGCGCGGCCGATCTTCGGCGCGTGTCAGCTCCCTCCCTCCGTCGGGCCGAGTGGATGGCCGCCGTTCGCCTCGTTAATCGCGCCACAGATTTTATGAGACGAGTGGGTCAAGTGCTAATAACACGTTTGATCCAATTAACACAGGGGACACAGTTTAACTCGGTATATCTTGTTAATGAGCAATATTCTTAAATCAGTTGAAAATAAAGTACGCGATTACAAATACAAAACTTATGGCTCTTTATTAAAACTCGAAGTAGAAAAAGGCACTTACAATTTACATATTTATACTTTTGTTGTAATTAATTCTCTGGCCACCGAGTTGTCTGGAAATTTAGTTGTAATAAATTATACAAAAAGTACTCTGAAATTCATGAACACCCTGGAAAAAAGTAATTGTCAATTTTTCTCTCGACACGACAGCAACAAGGCGACAGCATGGCCGCTTATTTAAAAAAAATCTTTAAACCAAATTCGACACTCTACGGTAGCGGTGGAGTGCTCGTAGCACGTAGCAAGCGGCTCTACGTCAATGATACGGAGGGTCGTAGCATTAAGTGCAAGAGTTCGTAGACGTCTACGCGAAGAGCCTGCTAGTGATGAATACGATTACCGCTTTAGACTTTATTGATTTTTTATATTGAAGTATGTACGTGCTGGTGAGATGGTCGCACAAAGTGGTACTTCTTGTTGCCGGTCTGGCTGACTGGTCTTATTTCATAAACTTCTATAAACTGTGATATTGTGCTTATTATTCCACCATGAGATTTTTAGGGTGGGTGCTTCATGAAATAACAAAACCAACAATACGTATCAATTGATACAGGTTGTTGGTGCAATTACATCAGAAAATATCAGTGGGTGAATTTAAAAATATGGGGCTTTTTTGTTTTGTAGTGATTTTATCGACACATTGGTACCGGCTATGTACGCATCCCTAGGGTGTGAGGGTGCGGCTGCGGCGGCCACGTTTCCCATTAGCCACTGTTTGCGTCGAGCTTTGCCGGGAACTTTGTTTCACACAACATAACAATCGGGCTTATACCCACCCTGTTACAATTTTTATATATATATATATATTATATATAAATAACATGCACAACTGGTTTAGATGCAGTTTGGTTTGTTAGTTGATCACATGCCAAGATTACATAGGTCGTTAATTATTACAACATGTCGGCGTGTTCTCGCGCATGTCGACATGTCAATAAAACTTATTATTGTGCTACGAGGTATGAGTCGTGCAGCCGAAGCACCGCTCTCGCCGGTTACTTCAGTTCACTCTTCGCAAATCTGCGCATACTGCTACGGTACGCCGACTCCTCTCTCACTCACTTCTATGTGTATGTTTATTTAATGAATGCAATTAATCAACATACAGAAATACCAACTTATAGTATAAACGTTAAAGATTTTTATAATGTGTAATTATAGTTTCAATAGTTTAAACAACCTTGACTATATTATCACATAGCAATAATTAAAGTAGAAGTGTGGCTGGCGCGTCGTGCTGTGCCGGCCCCATTCAAAGTATCGGTAGTACGCGCGGCGGCGGCGCTGGGCGGGCGGCGTGATCGTTACGGCGGGTTGCGGGCGGGCCGGGGGGAGGGGAGCGGCGAGCGACGGGCGCCCGGCGGGGCAGTCGCCGCCCGCCCTCGCGCCGCTCCGCACGCGTCGGCCGCCCGGCGCGCCCGAGCACTCGCCTCTAACCACACATATCACTGTTTACCTTAGTGTTTTTATAAGGTTTGGTTGAGCCCCGCTCTACCCTGGCCAGTTTACCTCATCAGCGCAGCGACCGGTGCGAAGGCTCGTCATCGCCACGCGTCTGGTTACTACCTGGGTTTCCTTACACTGGGAATAAACCGGAAATGTTTGATCTGAAATCGAGTCATTGCATAAGTTGTTTCGGATGACGTTTGCTACAAGTTCACGTGCAGTGGCTAGCTGCAGGCGCCGTCGCTGCGGTGTCACCTAACATGTGTCATTTCGTCATCGTGAATCGAACGATTGTTTTCGTTGGATATAAACATTTGTAGAAATGGAATCAACGGCTTCGCGTGTTACTTTGCAATTAACGAGAAGTTTCCGCTACTTGTATATTCAAGATGTTATTTAGAAGCGAAACTCGACAAAATTAGTCGGTTTAGAAAGTCGGTGTTAGGTTCCGTGTCGGAACGCGTTTGTGTTATCAAGATACAGAAAACTAAATTAACTTTATTGTTCCTGCCGCTCAGTTCTGTTCTACAAAAACGTTGTTTATCGTGAAATTTAACATTTGCTCAGTTTTACTTGTGCAGCTTTTAAGTACCTATGTATTTTTAAGTAATAGTAGTATCGCTATAAAATTAAACTTTAATTGTGAATGAAAATGCAAATAAAGTAATGGGATCGTGTCAGAGGATATAAAGTAGCGAAGTTCTCTCCACGCGTCACCAACATAAGTGTATCTACTGCATGTAGCGCACGACTGTTGCTTGATGCCTCAAGAAATTATGTTAATCATTAAATTAAATTTAGTTGAGACAATTGTAACAGTTCTTTCTCAATACTTGTGCGGTTTCTTGTAACAAGTTGTGAGCTGTGAGCAGGTCAATGCCCCTCAGGTCTCTAACAACTGGAACAAAACCTTTAACATTGTCTGACTTTACTGGGTTGTTTCAAGTAATTAAATAATATACTAGCTGTTTCTCGCGAATTTGTCCGCTTAGAATTTTGACTTTCGCTCCCTATTTAGACCTTTATAGTACAAATTCGAAAAAACCTTTACATATTTTTTTGTTATTTTTAACTACATCGGAAGCTAAATTACACGGACACATCTCTTTATAAATTCATTCCCTAAAGGTTGAAATTTCGTAAAAAAACGTAAAGTGCTCATATCAGTAGTGTCACAAGCCCTAGGCGAAATTGCAAAGACGAAAAATCTACAAATTAAAAAGAAAACTAAACACGTTGTTAATAATTTGCTATGAAAAGTTTGTCAAAATTTTAAAGAATGAATTATGTCGAAGGCTTTTAAAGTACTGTAAAATAAACACCTCCGAACCTCGTATCTACGCTGTGAAAAATGTTAATTTTCACGTAATTCTGTCGAAATGTGAAGTTGCAATGCTCAAATCAAATATACCAAATAATATCGTATTGTAACTTATAAATATTTTTAAAGTAATTTTTTCGCTATAATCTGTCCATTGATTTGAAACACGATTATTTAAACATTTTTTTTTATTTATAAAGCTGAACTTTAAAAGCTTTTTATTATTAATTATTCAAAAGATGAAAAATAAAGTGTGGAGAGCTCAGAGAAAACTTATCTTTGTTGTTTTATATTTCCTCGAGAGAGGTAAACGAAAAATCAAATATTCATTTGATTTGGAGGACTCCATATATTTTTACTTTGAGTCGCTCTTGAGAGTTGTTCC